ACTCTGGGCCTGGCGCTGCCTCTCAGCTCTTCACCTCAAGGCTAGCACTCTGCCACTTGAGCCATAGCACCACTTCCAGTTTTCTGGTGGTTTACTGGAGATAAGAGTTTCATGGACTTTCCTGCCCGGGCTGGCTTTGAACTGTGATCCTCAGATCTCAGCCTCCTGAGTAGCTAGGATTCTAGGCTGGCACCCAGCTACAATTTCAATTTTTAACTTATCTCTTTATTTGGTGATATTGGGGTTTGAACTCAGGACCTCAAACTCACTCAGCTTGCTTGCTTGGCTGGTGCTCTAGCATTTGAGCCATATCTCAGGCCCCATGTTTTTGCCTTCTTCTTAACTCAAGAAATCCTGAGATAGGGCTGGGATGTAGCTCAGTGGCAAAGCACTTGCCTAGCAAGTGCAACGTCCTGTGTTCGATCCCCAGTACCAAAAAAGAAAAGACAAAAAAAAAATACAGTTAAAAAAAAAAAAAGAAATCCTGAGATAAAGAGGAATGGCCAGTAGTCTGTTGAGTGATTACTCAATACCAATGACTACATTTATTCTGCCTTATGCCCTTCCTCTTAGATTGATACTGATAAAACCATTATTTTTTCTGCACAGACCTGAATCTTCTAGAAACCAAGTAAGTGGCCTAGTTGCATAGTAGTAAATGGTGGAACTGGGACTCAAAGCCAGGCTATTGCAGGTGATTAACAATCTGCTTTCTGGACCAAACAAAATCCAAATTTCCAGGCCTCCTTTTGCTTCCATTTCTTGGGAGATTTTCAGGGAAGCCAGCATGTCAGATACTTACAGATGAATTAACAGGAAAAGCCAAAACCAAACCACTAAACAAACTAAAATAACAGTTCCTAACCCAGGAAGTCTCTTCATTAAGTATAAGTAGGCAGTTTGAGTTGTACCATAGACATTCGCTGGATGGAGACGACGACCAACAGAGCCGGTCTTAGGCAACAAGGATGCTCCGGTTATCTTGAATTCGAGCGATCAGTTCAGATGTTCCACAAACAGCTGGATATACAAGCCTGACATTCAAGCAAGAGGGCAAGAGATAAATTTGGGAGTCGGTATCACGGCAGAACCTTGTCTACAGCAAATGCTTCCCGGCTGACAAATTTTCTCTTTCAGCTGTCAAAAGCCTCAGTGCTGAAGACTGTGTCAGAGGTTAAAGGAAGGGTGGTGGAGGCTCACGTCTGTTTCGAGTTCCCCCGAGGGTCTGGCGCCGCTGCTTGAGGAAGCTCAGGTCTCCCTTCTCACCTGAGTCCTGTGGCAACTCTTGACTCCACAGCACCCAGGGTACTTGTGCAGCGGTTGGTATGAGTACTGCCAAAGGTAGACTCGGCGCTCCCCTCCCCCGGTGCTCCCCTCCCCCATGCTCCCCTCCCCCGGCGCTCCCCTCCCCCGGGCCTCTAGGGCTGAACAACGCCCCTGCAAATGGACATACTCATTTTAGATCTCAGCCTCCTCAGCAGCTAGGATTACAGACTTGGCAACTGGCTACACTTTCACTTTTTCTTTCCTCTTCCCTTTCTCTTTCTTCCTCTTCCTCTTCTCCCTCCTCTTTTCTCAGCATCATCAAGAGAATGACCCCCCCCCCCCCGCCCCGCAGCACTGCCGGCTTCTTTGTAACTGTCTCCTATTCTCTCTTCCCAGAAACCCCCTGAGCTGTTTTCTCTTGCTATAGGTTGTTTTGCTATTTTTAAAAACAATTTCATATGGGGAGAGGGAGTCTGACTTTTTTCCCTCAGCTTAATTATTTTGGGACTCACCCATGTTCAATGCATTTTAACACTTCTTTAATGTTTCTTCTTGTACCGAGTTCTATCCTACTGTCGGCGAACACCACACTCCCCGGTGCATGGACATTGAGCTTGCTGGCTGTTGGTAACAGCCACTGAAAACAGAGCTCCTACGATCACTCCCATGTACAACTTTGCATGGACATATGCTGTTGGGCTCCTGCTACCTGTAAGGACTGCCAGAAGGAGACCACGGCTTGGTTCAGGCAGGAAAGAGCTTATTGGGAGAACCAATAAACCCTCTGGTGAGATACAGAGATTTCAGGTGTTCTACACAAGAGGGATTGTTTTTTGTCAGACATGGGGCTTGAACTCAGGGCCTGAGTGCTGTCCCTAAGCCTCTCGGTGCTCAAGGCTAGCCTAGTGGCCTACCACTTGAGCCACTTACAGCTCTTGAGTGATTAATTGGAGATAAGGAGTCTCACAAGGACTTTTCTGCCAGGCAGGCTTCAAACCATGATCCTCAGGTCTCAGCTTCCCGAGTAGGGGATTTTGTGTGTATTAAGGCAATAGCACAAGGGTAAAAAGTACACGTGGCATTCAAGGAGTAACAAACAGTCCTACTGGGAGAGACAGATCACGACAAAAGGGCAGGCAGGCAGTTTTATCTTTGGACCAACCCAGAAGACTCTGGTGTTTTCCAGGTGAGAGAAACTTCCTCAAGATTCCATCTCTGGACATTCCTCCTGCTGAGCCCTTCCTTAGAGCACTGTCACCAAGTCTTAATGGGGTTCGACCTCCATTCACCTGAGGTGTCCACCACACAGCCAAGCCCAGGCCTTCTGAGAGGCCGTCCCCCCAGGCACTTTTCTTATTTTTACATAAAGTCCAAAGTAAAGAAACGTTTGAAGTCAATGATGGAATAAATCTCATCGCTCATTTCGCAGACATCAAAATTTGAAGATGTGGACGGCTGCCAGGAAGGAAAAAGAGCGCATGCCGTGCGCCTCCCAGCTCAAGGGCGAGACCTCGCATGCGCCTCCCAGCTCAGGGCCGAGACCTCCTCGGCCTCCGTCCTTGGATCCGCCCGGGGCTCCCTCACTCGAGTGCAGCAAATTGTGTAATTAGTGACAGCAACAATTTTGCAGAGAAAATGGTTATGTGTTTATGGAAGTTTAATGGCTCCAAATGTGTAAGGAAACCATTTACTAAACCCAGCCGAAGAAAGCAGAGCTGGGACCCCACCAGCTCTGGCAGATCACTGGGAAATACACCTCATAAACGCCCATTTGGGGTCACTGCCTTGGGGACAGGTGACCACCCGGGCTGGGCCTCGGTGCTCGGCTCCCTCTGTCAACTCAGAGTAACATACTCAGTCACAGCAGAGCTCCCAGGAAGTGGTACTTAGGCGGTTTTAAACTGATCAACGAGCTTTGCTAGGTTCATCTCTTAACTGTTTCTTCCCCATTTCCTCCCCCGTCCCCACCTCAGATGTTCAAGTCATTAGAGAACACGGAATCCAGCTACTTTTCTCTAAAAATCTCCTGCAACCTCCGATCTCCATGGAACTGCCTTCAACTGCTTTAGAGACCAGCATGTATTTAATTTTGGAACCAATTGGTTTGTTATTAATGCCAGGTGGATTTGCTCCCATGTGCCCACCCAGACAGGCAGGTGATTCCAAATTCTAGCCCCCATTTTAGGAGGGCAGTCTTTCCCAGAGAATACCACTTGAGCCTCAATGTATGCATTGGTTATGGGAAGTGTCAAAACATGTGGGCATTATTATTATTATTAGTTGTATGGCTTTGATGTTGAATAGGGGGCATACCAGAGGCCATGACTGGCTACTATTTGCATTTCGTACCTGTTTTCAATGTTTTGAAAACACACAAGACTTCTTGAGTCTCCCCTGGGCTATTTGTGGGCCATCAAAGTTTACTTACCAACAGAGTGTCTGATGTCTGATCAGAATGACAGAAGGTGAGAGAAGAGCAGGGCATGTTGGGACACTTCCTATCTTTCAGAGCAGAGAGAATGGAGCCTGGGGGCTTGGCTGGGGGCAGGTGAAAGCCCAGGCGAGAAGAGCGTGGATCCAGGGCTTCCTGGCTATCCTGAAGGGCCGGGGCGCTCGGGAGAAGATCCTGTCTGCTTTGTCAAATTGACCATTTCCTTTAGCAGGAAATAAAGGTTCAAACCGAGTTTCAGACCAACTACAGAGTAAGAAATAGCTTCACTTCTAAAAGACTCTGCTTTTGAAGACATTCAGCTTGTAACCTAATTTCACGTTGACAGAGTTTGTTTTGTTGCTTTTCCAGTTGCTGCCTAGAAATGTGTTTCATTATCTCCCGGGGAAACTGGCCGGCAGGGAGAGCAAGGAGCTCCAGTTCCCTGGGCCTCAAAGGTCCTACAAAAATAAAATAGTAAGTAAATGTAAAATAAATTACAAGGAATCCCAATGGACTTCCTGTTGTAAACACTTCACACCTCACACCACCCCCTTGCTATAGTACTTGTGGGGCTCTGGCCTGAACCTCCAGGTCCCATTTTATGAGCTCTGGGCAATGAGAAAACTCAAAAGAGCCAAGGATACACATCAGCATAAACCCAGGCATGGGTGGATTTCATACAAGGGAAAGCACTCATTGCAAAGAAAAGTTTTATCTACTTTCTTTCTCTCTCTCTCTTCCTCTTTACCTCCCTCTCCCACCCCCCTCTCTCTTTAGTGCTAATACTGGGGTTTAAACTCATGGCCTTGAGCTTTCTCTTAGCTTTCTTGCTCATGAATGATGTTTTACCATGGTGTTCTACTTGAGTCACATCTCCAGTCTGACATTTGACTGGTTTACTTGAGATGGAGTCTTTCAGACTTTTCTGCCTTGGTTAGCTTTAAGCCTTGATCCTCTGGATTTCAGCCTCCTAAATACCTAGAATTATAGGCACGAGTCACCAACATTCAGCCTGGGCTCCTTTTAAGGTATATCTGCTTAAGACTTGTTTTGGCTTTCTAACATTTAAACTTTCCAGTGTTCAAACATGAAAATAGGACTTCAGATTTAAAAAGTAATGATAACAAAACGAGACTTCCTGGAATCGAAAGCATGAATTCAAAAGTCATCGTTTTGAATACTGATATGAGAGGAAGAAATAACCCAGGCAACAGGAGGCTGTAAACTTTTTAATTGAGAAAGAGTACGAGAGCAGTCAGTAGGGAGGAGAGACACAGGGCTGAGTCTCCCCCACAGCGCCACTGGCATGTGGAAACGAGGTTACTTGACGTCACACAAAAGGGCCACGCCCCTCAGGATCCAGTGATCCGGGGCCAACACTGTTCGCAAATATACCACAGTGATGAAAGTCAGGTCGGTGCGTCTGGGTTTCTTGTAAATGGGACACACGTACAGTTTGGGGTCCTTGGGCGCCGTGGAGTTAATCGCAAAGATGTGGAGCACAGGCAGCTGTGTGAAGAGCACCTTGGGGGTGGATTCTGTGAGCTTCCCGTTCCTCCGGTCCCAGCCTGCGCCATCCATGTACAGCCCATAAATATACACGCCTTCCTGGAAGAGTCAAGCATGAAGGAATAGGAGATGTAAAAAAAAAAAGAAAAATCAGAGGTGCTGCAAGATGGGTATCTATTAGTGTCATAAAGGTTTGTCCACTTGGAAAGAAAACATATGCTAGTCTTAAATCAGATGGAGAAAACATCCTGGGCACGTCGTATTCATGAAACACTGGGCCCCGCTTCTTCCCACAGCATCTAGGCCAGAGAACCATGCAGACATGCATGTGGGTGGTGGCTGCTGGCGTGTGGGTGGCACACCTGGGCAACGGAAGGACCAATCACCTCCACAGGAGGTGTAGGTCTCTGAAAGGGGCTGTTTGATTTGGTGGAAAATGGGGACAAAGAACAGGGTATGGAACTAGTGTCACAAGGGATCTCAGGCTGAGCCAGCCGGCCTAGCAAACTCCCTTCTCTCCAATTCTACCTCCACATAGGATGAAGTGAGGTTAGAGCGCCCCCACAGGCCAGGAGTGGTACAGCCAGGGGGCATAGGGAGCAAGGGAGGGCGAGTCGCTCCAGGGTTCTCTTCATATAATAGGACTTGCCTTTCTGGTCCTCACCTGTATAACTGGGGAGATGGGACACACATGTACAGGGGGAAAAGTTAAAAGCCTGAGTTGAACGGTAGCAGGCTGCCTGGTGAACAGTTCTAAGTTCTGAGGAGAGAGGTCACAGGGACCAAGATGCTCAGGAACTCTCGTGGAGGTCCTGGCCCTGAAAGGTGGGCTGTGTTTGGAAAGATGGAGGAAAGAGGACGGGCGTTCTGGGCAGGAGTGGTGCTACAGAGCAGAGCAGGATGCGTAGAGAGAGGGTCCAATGGTTATAAAATAAGTTAGGGCTAGAGCATGGAGTCTGATGAAGGGTCTGAACTTTATCTTACAGGCACCAGGGAGCCTCTTAGAAGAAGAGACAGGCCCGAGGGTCACCGGGGAGCTCGTTAAGTAGGTATTTATGGAGAGGTTGTGAACATTTTTCCATTTCCAGTGACAATCGGGTAAAAGCAAATGTAGGTTAAAATAAAGGACAGGGAGATTAACTATGAAGTGTGATTTTAATCCCTTGGCTAACAGAATGAGGACTATATAAATTTTTTAAAACTTTTTATGTATTGCCACCAATTAGTCGTACATGGGGTTTCTTTTTCTTTTTTGGTCGGTTGTGGGGCTTGAACTATGGGCTTGGACATTGTCCCTCAGCTCTTCAGCTCAAGGACACCACTCTACTGCTTGACTCACTTCCAGTTTTCTAGTGGTTTATTGGAGATAAGAGTCTCATGGAGTTTCCTGCCCGGGCTGGCTTTGAACCTCGATCCTCAGATCTCAGTCTCTTGAGTAGCTAGGATGACAGGTGTGAGCCACGAGTGCCCGGCATGGGTTTCATTTTGACCTGTCCATATATGCACACAAGCTGCTTTGATTAGACTCAGACCTTCCACCCTCCTCTCTCATCCCAAAGCAGCATTAACAAGCTTCAAGGTTCCATTGTCACATGTATACACAAGGTATTTTAGCCATATTCACTTGCCTTTGACCTCTCTATTAGCCCTCCCCCCCATAAGACCCCCACCCCAGACAGGATCTGTTTTACATTGTTGCCCTTTGTTATTTTTAGTATGTGCTAAGAAAAGGAAACAAGGAATACTTCAGAGTTGCGAGTCATCCCTGCACAGGGGCTGTGCTAATCTCCTCTGCATCGTCCCAATTCCAGTACCTGTGCTGCCAAGGTTATCATGTGCACTTTATTTTTTGAGCCACTAATTGAGGCACATGACCATAGACATAGCAAAATCATAGACAGTACCCAGAAATCAAGACTTAGTCTTCCTCTCATTAGCTTAGTGGTTGACAGTTACCTGTATAAAGAATAGATAAACCAGGTGCTAGTGGCTCATGCTACTCAGGAGGTTGAGATCTGAATATTGAGGTTCAAAGACAAACTGGGCAGGAAAGTCTGTGAGACTCTTATCTCTAATGAACCACCAGAAAACTGGACATAGCACTGTGGATCAAAATGGCAGAGCAGGGCTGGGAAGGTGGCTCAGTGGTAGAGTGCTTGCCTTGCATGCCTGAGGCCCTGGGTTCGATTCCTCAGCACCACATAAGCAAAA